AGATCTCTACAGCTCAACTCAAGGGTCCTCTCCCTTCCTGACTCGTGTCATGGGCTGACAAGGCAGGAAATCCCTGCTTCTTGGGTACTCATTGCTCCTGATCTGACCACAAGTAGTTCATAATCTGTGCTTGGATTCAAATCTTGAGGCTGCACATTGCTTAGTTGTGCAACCCTGAAAAGGGTCTTTAGCCATACCCCTGCCTCTGTTGGCTTCTCTGGGGAGGAGGGTAATAATGAAATTTGCCTCACAAGACTCTCCTGAGGACTCAGTTGGATAAAGTCAAATATTTTAGCATGATACCTAACCCAGAATAGACATTTAATAAAGTTATGTGAACATGAAGATGATTCATGTGCTCAAGAATAGACAAGGGGAAACTCATCAGTATAAAAATCCATAAACATGTTTAAATAGAGGAGAATGTGATTATGTATTCACCAAAGCATACTTTTTTTTTACACTTAGGTTCACAAAAAGTCTATTTTCCTACTACTTGTGGTCACTTTGGGCCTGCATGACTGAGTTCCTGCCAGAGGAACCAGAGACTGCCACCTGCAGGCCACAAAACTTCCACTGCAAACCCACATTCTCTGGGGTTCCCTTTGGTGGTAACCTTAGAGGCTGTGTGAGGAAGCTGGCACCATCACAGCCCAGAAGGGGCTTACGACCCTGAGCGATGGCGTGAACTACCAACCCTGCCCCCACCTCCCTGGGACGCTGATGTGCGTGGCAGCACGTCTTTGTAGAGTTCTATAGAGACCTTTGTCAATGTGCTGGCTGTCAGTGCCAATCGTGTTTCTATTTGTGGGGCTGCTTAGGAACAGGGTTTTGACTAATGTCTGTTCTCTTAATTTACCTATAACAAGTACATCCAGAATCATACCCTCTCACACATTCAGTTATTTTGGGACATCTGGGTCTTTGCCTTCTTCTGAAGACCTTTATCTTTGCTTGCACAGCTCTACCATGAGGGCACGGTAGGCTTCCTCACAGAGTCCAAGGTATAGAATAGACTCCAGGAATCCCAGCCTTACTGTTGTCTGTTGCTGTCTGTGACACTGGGAACTAGTGGAGGATATTCAGATTGCTCAGGAACCACCACAAGCTTGTGGAAGAGCAGCAAGGACTTCATCCCATTCCATGTTGCTTCTGGTATCTTACTACCAATTATTATCATTTTATATAATACTTCTCAATTATTATTACCATTTTGATCTTCTCTGATGAAAATTTTCTTTTACACTTAGCAATTCAGTCCAGAGAACAGCAACTGAAGCCACCTCATCTCCAGATGTAAACAGTTTTTTTGTTTTTTTTTTTTTTTTTGCTGTCTTCTAGAAGAAAGATGTTGCCATGTTATATGGCTCCTGTGTAGGTTGGCAGGTGCATTGGCTGACTGGTGATATGTTATTAACTATTAGTCAGTCCTCCATATCCAGCTACATTCAAAAGGTCAACCAGTTGCAGATTGAAAATAGCTGGAGAGAACACTATATCTGCACTGAATATATATATATATATATTCTGGTCATTTTTCACTAAACTGTCTGATGTGGCAGCTGTGTACATGTTATATTGTACTAGGTATGATGACTGGTCCAGTGATGCTCTAAAGTATACAAGCTGTGTGCAGATTTTACATTTTACCTAATGGATTTGGATAGCCACAGATTTTGGTATCAGGCGTGGGTGTATGATGTCCTGGAAACAAACTCCCATGGTTACCAAGCTGAGATGTGTGCTTAATTTAATGTTATGTGTTTTCACCCCATGCCGAACTCTAACCTCCTTCCTCTAGGACATGTGTAACCATGCATATTCTGCTGCCTCGATAACACCAAGTCATACAACTCAAACAGAGAGCCTCAACCAACAGCTCCCCTTGGGTATATGGTGGGCATCTCAAATTTGACATGCCCCAATCTGAACTCATGGCTAACTCCCCCCACCACTCCACAAATCCCTCTCCCATTCGCCAGACTGAACTCATGGCTGACTTCCCCCATCGCTCCACAAATTCCTCTTCCATTTGCCAGACTGCTCCTTCATTGCTAAGGGTATTCCCATTTATCTGGTTTACAACAGCAGGACAAAACAAAATCACATTTCCCAGAAGGGTATTCTTTTCATCTCCTACTGCAACACATTAGCAAGTTCTTTCTCTTGAATTTTTAAGATACATGTGAAAGGTCTAGGGAGTCATTCTCCATCCGTTGGTCCATTCCATAAATACTCACATTAACTAGGACTAGGTCAGGTCCCAGCCAGAAGCTGGGAATTTAGACTCTGTCTCCCACCTGGGTGTTAGAGATGCAACTACGTGAACATCACTGGGTCCCAGAGAGCACATGAGCTGGAAACTGGAATTGGAAGTACAGTCAGGGCCCAAACCCAGGCATTCTGATAGGGGCTGCCCATTTCCCATATACTATTTTGACCCTTACGCCAAACATCTGCTGCTCATCAATAGTGTTTCTCAATTGAATGTTCTAAACATTTCCCAAAGTTGATCACGTCTCGACGTCCTAATTTAGACCATCATCATCATTATCTCTTCTTTCACTAATATAATAAGATCAGCTTCTCCCTTGGCCATTTCTACTGAAGCTTTTCGTCTACTCTCCTAAGAGTCACTGGTGTGGACTTTTAAATGATAATCAGATAGTAGTGTTCCCCCTGGCTACAACTCTTCAAAAACTTTCCATCTCTTGAAAAAGTCCCCAAATCCCTGCCTATCATACACCTTGCTGTGTGACCACCATCCACCGTCTCACTGCCTTCTGCTGTTGTAACTCTCTCCTTTGCTCTCTGAGTTGAGCCTAGCCTGCCTCCTCCCTCAGTGGCTTCTGCACCTTTCCCCCCCCCCCCTCAGTTGTCTCCTGGCTCTTCCTCCTCCTTGTTTAGGTCTGCACACTTAGGTCACCCGTTGGAGAGGTTGACCCCATAATCATTTCTCCCACCTCACCAACTTAGCACTAACTGCTAGGGGGACCTATATCTTATGTAATATTTTATCCAAGAGCTCTCTACTATCAGAATGGGAACTTTCCAGCGATGGTAAGGATTCTGTTGTTTACTGCCTGCCTCTTTCTCAGTGCCTGGCACATAAAAGTCACTGAAGAACAGCAGTGGACGAATGATGATGAGACGATGGATGGGGGAAGCACAGGAGGGCAGGGGAAAGAATGCAGGGCCAAGACGAAGCCAGGCATTCATGCTCATCTGCTTCTACTCTGTGATCTTGGGCAAGTCACTGGACCTCTCTGGCTCTGTTTCCTGCTGATAACAGGAGTGGATAGACTTTAAGGTGCCAGCTAATCAATATCTGTAAATATCACTGCAGTTTCTCAACTCTCCCTTAAGATATGAAGTAGTGCTCATCACGTAATGAATAGGCATGGTTGAGTTCCAATAAAACTGTATTTACAGAAGCAAGAATGGGGCTAAATTTGACTCTTGGGCTGTGGCTCACTAATGCCTAAATGATTTCCAGAGTCCCTCCTCTTTAATATTCTAGATCTCTCAATTTGCTTTTGGCATTTCGTTAAAGTGGTAACTTCAGAAAGAGGCCTCACAGCACCCAATTTCTGTAATAGTGGAATTTGCCAATACAGAAAGGCTAGCAGTAGGGGAGAGTTGCAGCTGTCAAATGGGTAGGAGTAAGATCACACTTGGAAATCAGAGCTTGGTATTGCTCAGAGGTTGAGCAGTTTTCCCGGGTGGGTGGTGATTGGCCTTCCTCCTTCTTAGATAACTCTGTGTTGTATTAGCTATCATGCGGAAAAGGACCTGCATGCCTTGTATTAGCAGATAAATTCAAGCACCTGTAGTGGTTCACGTAGCCCTTTTCCTGTATCATGAGATTCAGTGTGACAAACCTCAACTCAGTACCTTGCACACTCCTCCACCATTTTCTAACGCAGAGGACAGATGAGGTCCATCCTAGACTAGTGAGACACAGAAGGAGTTTTCCAAAGAAACATGACTGACCTTTATAGATAAACTTCTCCAGCCAGAGCTTCAGCCTGAGCAAGTGGCAATTGCATTTCCAGAGATTGTCTTTGAGATACAAAAGCTTCACGCTGGGCATGGACTCTAGGAGTGCCCGATCCAGATGCTGAAGCCGGTTGTGTTGTACTGCGAACACAGTTAAATTCTCCCAAGTCTCACTCAGGCTTGTGGGAAGGTGGCTTATGGAGTTTGATGACAAATCAAGCTCCCTCAGCTCAGGGAGAGAATGGAAAATTGTGTTGTCCAGGGAGAACAGGGAGTTCTGAGTTAGGTTTAAAACCTGCAAGTGCGGAAGGCCCTGGAAAGCCGCAGGGGACAGATGTGAGAGGGAATTGTTGGCCAAGTTTAAGGTCGTGAGCTGGGGCACTGACTGAAATGCGAAAGCAGGGATCTGGTGTATCTGGTTATCTTGTAAGTTCAACCATAGTGTCGTAGCAGGCAGATCAGTAGGGATTTCTGCCAAACCCTGTTGGCTGCAGTCCACAAAACTGGAAGATGAGTGACAGTGGCAGTTCTCCGGGCAGCCACGTGCCCCCTGGAGCAGGAAAATCATACTTGAAAGCAGGAGCAGTTCACCTAGAACAGACAGAAAGTGGCATTGGAACCAGTGTGTAAGGAATGGGTCAGTGTTTTTTCTCCCCTTTTGTATTCATAGCTAATGTGACATGGGAGACAGGTGGCACCATGTATGTGCTGGAAGAGGTTGTAGCTCTTACTGTCTTTGTTGGAGTTGGGCTGGGCTGTTATACACTTCATGTGAATGCTTCGTGGAAGCTTCAGAAGAGATCTTTTCCTAGTGCCTCAGTAATCAGAGGATGGAAAACTTAAGGATGGGGAATAGAACAGTGGAAGAAATCTTTGTGGAGAGAGCATATGCCTTTTGTAGAATGCAGCAGATTTATTTACGGCCAGACGTGTCTAAGATAGAGAACTTCGGGTATTCTGACTCCTGAAAAGTATGCGTTAGAGCAGTGCTGTCCAAAAGCACTTTCTGCAAGAAAGGAATGCATGTGCTGTCCAATAGGGTAGTAAGTAGCCACGTGTGGCTAGTGAGTTCCTGACATGCAACTGTGGCAACCAAGTAAGCGAAGTTTTGGTTTGTCCACAACTTGGGAAACTTGAAGTGGCTCCATGTGGCTGACAGTTGTTATACTGAGCAGGGCAGCTCTAAGCATGTCCATCTCTGCAGGTGTAATTCCCTCAGTGACCATTTTCCATAAATGACAATTTCTAGTCCTTTTTAGGGCAGGAGCTTTCCAAAATACAAAAACCATCAGGAGTCATACATGAAACAGTCCTGTTCCCATGATATTCCTGCTGCTTGTTTGTGGGTTCTACTTTCTTCCTCATTTTTCTTTTCACTCAAAGCAGTGACCAAGGCAGTGCAGCTCCCTCAATTAGTGACCGTGTCTTATTTTCCAGCATGACTCTGCCACCAATATTTATGTCTCTCTCCAGACGTGTTGTACATTATTAACAACAGCAGCAATAGCAAGTCATTGGAGTGCACACGTTTGGAGCTTAGCGACACACTCTGTGCCTGATATCGATCAATTCCTTCTTCTCTTAGGATTGGAATCTGCTTGAGAAATTTGGTTCTGTTATCATTGTCATTTAAATGTGAAGATGCCGAGGCATGGAGAAGCTGAATCCCTGCCTGAGTAACTGATGTGGCCATAATGTGCAGCTTTGACAGTCTTCCTGGGGAGTACTCCCCTGCTGTGCCCCACTACTGCCTATCACATCCCCTCTCTAACCATCAGTGTGAATATCATCAATAGCACGTATCACGCTGCAGTTTGTTTTATTCACTCACAACTTATCCATCTGCATGGATACCTAAAAAGTGGATTCGTTTGTTTTAGCTGCTAGGGGAGTTTTCCATGGTCAGACCACATTATAGTTAACATTTATACTCTCTCTGTCCCGAGAAGATTTGAGCTGAGGAGGATTTTTCCCATCACAAATCCTACTGCACCGGTGGTTATGCAGAGGGCTCTGGACTCAACCCTTTTGGAGCCCAGAGAGGAGGGTGAGTGGTGAGTTTACATTTTATAGATACACTGTGAGATTATTCTCCAAAGTTACCATGTCCACTCCTTATGTCCCTGAGACCGGGATTTCAAAAGATGGCAAACAGCTGTCTAGGGCCTTGTGTGAATCGGTAGAGGAATTCACAAGGCCACACAATAATGTTCAGATCTCCACAAAGTTATCTGCTGCCGTGAAAGTTATCTCTGCCTGGGGTGGATAGGTGGCTTGTTTTTGGCTTCATTAGAGGTTATGTGACGTGGCCTTCAAAGGCACTGAGCCTGTTGGCCTTAGTTCCCCGGGTCTTCTCCTGCCGGCTGGCCATGTTCTAGGGCGATGGAGGAGATGTTGAGGGAGGCTTCTGAAGGAGCTGGTGCTCAGTTTGAGGTCAAGGAATGCAGAACATCCGCTCCCCTCCCCTTTCAACGCATAAAAGAGCAAACCCCTTGTTGTGGTCTTTGCCGTTTGGGTGAGAATCCAAATGGCTCCTTCTAAGGCTATGCACATTTTCCTTCCCCAAAATGGACACCCCTCACTTTTCCTGCCAGCCTGGAACCTTCCATATTTGTAGGAAACTGTTCCTTTAACATGCTTTCCCCCGGACCCATGCATCTACTCACGAAAGGCTTGTCTTTCTGGGATCAGTGTGTATGTTTGTTTGTTTGTTTGTTTCTTTCTTTCTTTCTTTCTTTCTTTCTTTCTTTCTTTCTTTCTTTCTTTCTTCCTTCCTTCCTTCCTTCCTTTCTCTTTCTTCCTTCTTTCTTTCCTTCTTTCCTTTCTTCTTTCCTTCCTTCCTTACTTCTCTCCCTCCCTCCCTCCCTGATTCCACCCTGGCCTCAAAGAAAATAGTACATGAATTTCAATGCCAGGCACTGCCTTTTTTATGAAATAATCCATGTTGTGCCACTCTATACACCTGTCATAACTACATACCTTTATCTTTAACCTCTGCCTGTGCACCCATCATAAATCCACATCTGTCCAGTCTTTAAGAAAAGCTACCCGACAATGGATTTCCCACAAGCACCTTTGTGGGGGGACCTTAGGGTCCTCTTTTAGAGAACTTCTCACCTTTCATGGCTGAGTCTCCACAGATGTCCGCGCTGATCATGCAGGCCGCCCTGATTAATCTGCAGATGAGCAAACACAGGACATGGCAAACTCGGAGAGCCTGTCTTTGATTCGTTTTTTCCCCCCGAATCCAGCTTGCGCTTTTTCTCCGGAGCAGCCAACAGTTGTGTCTTTCAGGAGACCGCTTATTTAAGCAGCCTTGCCCCTTGTCTCCATCTGGCTGGGCTCGATTTCCATAAGAGGATCTTTAGATGGTGCCCCCTTCTTCTTTCTTAGAGTCTTGGCCTCCCCAAAATCATCCCTGCCTTTCCCATTCAGCCACCGAAACACATAAAGGGTGTTTGTCAAACCGCCGTGAACAGCTGTAGCATTCAAACATGACCCCGATGGCTCAGGCTTTTTGATTATTTAATCTGCTTGAAGTCCAGGGCACCAAAATAAAACGGCTTTCTTAATCCGGTCGTGGCTCCTGAATTCTGTTGACTTATTAACCATGCACCTCGGGGTGGGGGGGGGGTGGCGGGGAGTTCGACACGAATCCCCAGCCCGGGGGTCTAGCAACAGAGCCAGCAGAGTGTGTAATATGAGGACAAATTGGCCTGCTGGAAGCTGACATGGTTTGCACAGCGCGCTGCTTCGGTCATCGAAGGCTTATTCAGCCAACATCCGTGGGGATTAGCGTTGTTGACAGGGTCTTGATGCCCTGCAATTCATAGCCATGGTTTCTTTGAGTGGACATTGCAACCTCTTCTCCCTGGTGCCACAAATACTTCTCAGCTGCTCACTCCCTATGCCCCAGCCCACCCCACCCCATCCTGGCCCTGTTGAACTGACCTCTCGGCGAGCGTGACTTTGGAAATGTTTCTCCATCTTTCACTGTTTTCCTGATGCTGAGGTTCAGCCTGTCCCTCATTTTTCACAGACCAGACAATGAAGCCTTCCCCAGCGAGCATCAGGCATCAGTGAACTGTGACTCTAATCAAATCTGTTGGGAACTTTCCCACCAGGGTTTGGAACTGCTTCTGCAAATGTGCAAATCCCTTACCATTGGCAGAGCTGGCATTCCAATGCCCTTAGCCACCCTTGTACAACAAGCCAAGGTGCTCTGCGTACCCACGGCAGCCACGTTGTAGGGTGACTTCCTTGCTTTGATGGAGGCAGTACGAAATAGAAACTAGGTCTCAGCCCAAATCCTGGAGCCGCTGAGTGTGGCCTTCGCATTCACCTGGGTCTCATGGAATTCCAGCTCCATCAACCACCAGCTCCATGTCTTGGAACAGGCGACTGGCCACGTGAAACCTTATCTCTAACATGGACATGATAGTAGTTCCCCCTTCACAAGATTGTGCTCAGGACTAAATTAAACAATAGAGATCATGGCTCAGTGTCTCTTGAGAGATGCTTGTGGCCACCCATGGAATAACTTCCCAGACGCCCATGCTCCTGGCATTCGGAGGGCCGATCTTGACCATCAGGACAAAGATGTTGCCAGTCAGAATAATTCTAATGCCAGAACTTACAGACTCAGATGTTGTCAATTTTCAGCAGCCTGTCCTTTGAGGACCCCTTCCTCCTTTAGCTGTATCCCTTCCCACCTCACAGAACCCAGCGTATTCATCCTGCTCCTTCCTGAAAGTCTGCTGCTGTTATTCTCGCCACCATCTTTTGAGTGTCACAGACGTGATGGGGGAAAGGCAGGTGTAGATGGAGGTCAGGTGTCAAAGAGCCACTTAAACTTTTAAAAGCTTAAGGCTTTCGTCCTTCCTTCCTATTTCCATGTGCACAGAATTTACTAGAAACTGTTTCTCAGTAATTCCTATCAGTGGCACACATGTAGTGTTCAAGCACGGATTCATCGTAACATAACCAATGCGTGTGAACCAAATACTTCCTTTCAATGCCAGGAGGCCTCTGTCTTCCCCAAGCATCAGAAAATATTGTTTTGTAGGGCCAAGTGGTTAGTATTATTCACTGATGGCCAGACAATTTCTGTTGCGGTGCTGCTACATCTTGGGAAACCAGTGACAATAGATAAATGAATGGGTGTGCCTGTGTTTTAATAAAAATTTACTCACGAAATAAGTGACAGACCAATCAGCTCTTGCCTCTTGTGCAAGTCTCCTCTGCCCTAACTAGCCATTGCTGTCACTGCTTCACTCTCTCCCACCTACCATCCATATCCAAATCCCAACTCTCCCCACCAGCCAGACATATCCACTATTTGGCTCCTTATCATGAAAAGGAAGGGGTTAGATAGGATGTTCTTTGGTGGCCCTCTCGTATGTTCAAAGTCATGTCACTCTGAACACAGCGACTGAGTGGGTGTGAGAGGTACTGTTCTTACCAACTCCAGAAGGACTTGTGCAGAGAATTTGAGAGCTGAGCTATTTTGTTTTCCCTGCAGGACCCCGCTCAGGTGACCATGTCTTTTGAATTCAGAAAAGATTAATTTATTGACCCCCCACCGTTGATTGTAGGAACTCAGGACACCTGCAAACAGAGAGCCCTTCAGACAGTCAGGATGTGTACGTGAACCATCACACGTGCCTGTTGTTTAAACCCTAATGCTGAGTGGTGCTTGGCAAATCATAGGTTCTCTGAGTGTGGGCTTCCTGTGTGTTTGTTGCTAATGCTTCCTAAGGAACAGGGAGAATGGAGTGTTATTTGTTCAGTGCAGAGTATCGGTCTGAGGAATCTGCTATATAGGCTCTAAAATGTGTGTCCCATCTCTAATTCCAACACACCAACAACCCTTGGAGAACCCTGATAGAGGAGGGATTCCTGGGAACGGCTGGTCATTGCCTCACAGGTTCTTCGACTCCATCTTGCTCCTGCTGACTCTAACTGGTGGTTAAAGATGGGCTGCACGTGTGAGCAGTGAAGGGCTCCCCGACAGGTTGTAGGGCTATGGAGGCAGAGGCTGCTTGAGTTCTTCCACCTGACCTCAGCACAAGAACAACGGGAGGGCGTGTGATCAACAGGCTATTTCTCGCAGCTGCACCGCCTGCCTCTCCTTTGCTTCCGCCCTGGAGGAGCCAGACCGGAGAGGTGGAAAGGGGGCTCTGTGCAGCGGGGCAGCCCAGGGGAGACCCTGAGTGCCAGCCCTAGGCCTAAGCCGCTCCCTGCGGAGGGAGACCTACACTGCGAGGGGCTTCTGGCACCAGCATCTACATGTGAAACAGACACACCTCGGGAGTAATGCCGTGATTGTCATCGCACAGATTGAGAATTTCGTAAGCTTTTACAACATACTCTTTTATCCACTTTAAGTCAGAATGTTTTCTAGCATAAACTGGTCTTTTTAACCTCTAACCTGCCTTCAAAAAATATTGGCAAGCATTATCTGCTCAAACTGATGATATCTTGAAATCTGGCATTTAGTAACCCTCTTATTAACACAGTAATGTGCAAGGAATGAATTTTCGAAAAATAGTCCTCAGAAACTGTTCAATTAAACAAAGCAAGTTAAGGAGGATTATGTATTGTATGTGTTGCTTTTATGTGGAAAAAAAAAACTAAAGGTAGACAAATTAATTCTATACCTGGACATGGGTTTGATCTAAGGTTGAAATGTATGGAGGAAGGCAAGTTACTAACCTGTTATTACTAAGTACTTGGATGGGGGACAGGTAGCATTTTAAGGAGAAGGGAAGATGGTTAACTTTCTCCACTTACGCTGCCGCGTATTCCGCTTGCTACGGCAAACGTGTGTTAGGTCTGTAATTAAAAAGTCGCCAAGGAGAAGAGTTGACTCATGTTCCACAGTAAGTCGAGGCGCCTTTCATTTATTAGAATATTCAAGACGGCTTATCCTGTGGCGACTAGCTGAGCTGGATGTGTAAATATAGCAAGCCTGCAGCCTGCCTCCCCACCCTCCAAGAGGATTAGCCACAAAGGTAGCATCTGTCCTTTTCTGCCAGCGGGTCCCAGCATGTGACAAAACCTCAGGCTGTGTTGGGATGTTTCCTGCAGGAATCATGTCAGCAAAGCAGGCTGAGAACTGAAGTTGAGCTGAGGGCTTTGGAAGAAGAGGTACCATGCCGTAGATCACTAGTACACCCCGCCTCTGCATTTGGTTTGCATTTTCTCACTTAGAGGTGGAAACTCCCTTGTCTCCCAAGTTTCAGGTGGGCCCCCAGCTGGCTATTGCAGCTATTTGAAAAGTGAATCAACAGGTGGGAGATTGTTCCATCTCTTAGTTCATCTCTGCCTTTCAATAAGTGAATTAGAGACAGAGAGAGAGCGAGAGAGAGACAGAGAGAAATAAAGAGAAAGGAGGGGAGTGTGGAGCTATGGCGTATCAGGTTAAGCCTGTGCCTGCAGTGCTGGCATCCCATATGGGTAGCAGCTCAACTCTCTGCTTCTTTACTTCTGTCCTGCTCCCTGCTAACACACCTGGAAAAGCAGAAAAAGATTGTCCAAGTGTGTGGGCTGCTGCAGCCATGTGAAAGACCCCAAAGAAGCTCCAAGCTTCTGGCGTTAGCCAGCACTGCCCTGGCAACTGAGTCAGCAAGATGGATCTCTCTCTCTCTCTCTCTCTCTTTCTTTCTGTCTCTCTTCCTCTCTCTTTCATGGGGCCTTTCAAATAAATCTTTCCATTTAAGAGAAAAAAATCAGGGAATGTGTAGCTGTATACACTTAGGTTTTTAAGAATCCTTATCCACAGATCCACTCCCTCAAGTGCCTGCCACAGCCTAGACCAGCGCAGGCCATATTCAAGAACTAGGAACCTAGTTTTTGTTTGTTTGTTTGTTTGTTTTTTCTTGGAAGTTGGCGACCCAGCCTGCTGAACCATCCCCTCCTGCTCCTAGGGTGTGCCTCAAGCAGGAAGCTCACCTAAATATAGTGTACTTTTGAGCAGATCTCAGCACATTGAACTTGCTACCCCTATGAAGACTCCCTGATTTGGTTTAAGCAAGCTAGGACTTCACTGACATTGTTACCCTCTCAAGGAACTGAGGTTCTGAAGTCATGCGGGGAACTTCAGATGGCAGCAGAGGCCCCACTGGATGCGTGTGGGAGCCAGGCGTGTGAGGTTTT